GATAAAGTATATCAGGTGGCAAGGGAACTTGACTAAATGGGGCATGATAAATGCCCTTATAAAAAGGACAGTATAGAAGAAAGAGAGCTGTGATTTGATGACTCCAATTCCATTTGGGTAAAACTGGGCTGTGTACAGGATTTTCTTAAATTTCCCTTACAGAACAGCATTAGTGGCACATTGAATCAAGTTAATGATAAGGCTCTCTAAAGTTAGGCAATGTAATTTGATCTAGGGACCCAGCTGACCTAACGCCATCTCTAGGGAGTTGGAATGTCTAATTGCCTTTCCATGTCCAGGACCCACTGGCTTCATGTTGACTTGGACTGAAGGAAGCCTGTAATTAGCAAAGCTTCCTGAGATAAACCATAATAATGCAGCTTCAAAGTCCATGGGAGGAGGGGAGAGGGGGGAATGATCCTTAACAAACAGTTGAAAATATGTATTCATATCTGTTTCTAAACTTTAATTATAATAATAATAATAATAATAATAATAATAATAATAATAATAATAATAATAATAATAATAGGTTTCCATGAGGAACCATACTGGGGCCATAACAGGAACTATGTAAAGAGATAATTTGAAGATACATTGATTGTTCCAATTCTAGTGCTGAGAAATTATTGTACAACTTGAGTTGAGGACCATACTGAAGCTGAGAAATAAATGCTCTTTCCCCCTAGTACTTGAAATTATAACACACAAGTTAAAGTGGTGGATGTAAAGCCAGCAAGGTCAAAGTAAAGCTAGTCTAAGCAAGAAAAATATAAATGAGCCTGAAGTTTAACGAAATAAATTGTGCCATCTTTTGCAATTGTAAGAAAAGAATTATTTTATTTTATTTTTTAAAATAAAATTTGCATCCCGTATTACGCTCTCTTGTTAACAACTGTCCCGATGCCTTCATGACTATGCCACATTAGTGTATTTTTGAATATATTTAAGCCTGTTTCAATATTACATTGGCTAGATCAGAGAAACTCTTGGCCATTTGCTGATAGTTTACAAAATCCAAATTCTTCGGAGCCAAACATTCAGTGATAGAAAACTTAATAAAGAGGAAGCTCATTTTGCCCTGCTAAATTATGGCTAGTATACTTTCTCAAACTCCAGACTGTGGTTTTTGATAGACCACCTTTCTGGCAAGAACGAGATGGATAATGTCAGTGCTTGTCCACTCAACTCATGTTACCAAAGTTGCATGCAACATTCCAGATGACCACGACATGGCAGCAAAGAGGCACAGCCATCTGTCATCTAGTGGTTACCCAGATCTTTTTTAGTCCAGATATCTTGACCCTAGATCATCTTCTTTAATTATGTCTTGGTCATTTCTACCAGGTTGGCTATTTAAAACAAGCAAACAAATAAACCACAGATATCTCATTTAACTGCCCTTCAAAGAGGCATTATTCTGTCTATTTGTATTACAGTATATGTGCTTAACAGCATCCTGACAGAGAGTAATCAAAATTACTTTACATAACTCAGTGTTAAAATTGCATAATAAAAGGCACACCCTGTAATTTATGCACAACAGGTTTTTTTTTTTTTTGATCAAATGACCTTATCAAGCCCCTAAATGCTGAGGCAGCCTTAGTCTCTTTAATTGGCATTTTAAATAATACAGTCGTTTAATGTGCATTTTCAAGCTGGATAGAAGCTAATCTCCCCTTAAGACTGGTACAAAATTACATAAAATAATTTTCTCCGCTTGTTGACTTTGATGTAGCTTTATAGAATAGCACAGAGATACTATACCCAGATTGGACTGCTGCTCAAGAAAGAAAAGAAAAGAGAAAAAAAGTATATATTGAACTGGTTTTTTTTGCAAGTAGTCCTTTTTGGATGTGAATAGACAGCATAAAAATAAATCAATAAAATAAAACTTACAGATAGACAGGGGAAGGACTATACCGTAATAGAGTAGTGATTCATTGATTGTATGCCACCAACTAAATAGACAGATTTTGTCCATGATGATCTGTCCTTAGCCTGGTCCTTCGACTCTTCCAATGGCGCATTCATCAGCACTGTATCTGAGTCTGCTGGTCATCTTCTTTTTCCTTCTAATTTCCCCAGCATTAGAGCCTTCTCCAGAGAGTCAGGTCTTGGCATAATGTGTCCAAAGTAGGATGATTTGAGCCTGGCCATTTGTGGTTTGAGTGAGAACTCTGGGTGGATTTGTTCAAGGGTCCATCCGTTTGTTTTCTTGGCTGTCTGTGGTATTCTCAGGAGTCTTCTCCAAAACCAAAGTTCAAAAAGCATCAATACTCTTCCTGTCCTGCTTCTAATAGACCAGTAGGCTTACTTAACACTTTTAGATACAAAGTTGGTGATACCTGTTGGAGAGACCATTCCAGACATGGTGGAAACCATGGTCCCTTACTGGGACAATGATTTGTGCTGAACTTTAAGTTTTCATTGCCCCCACTTCTTTTATTCTGTGTTGTTGGACAGAAGATCAGAAGCTTTCTTTATAATGCTTAATGAACCTCAGTTCCCTATGGAAGCTGATTGAAACAAGTCGCTCCACCAAGTTCGGTTCTGCACAGAATACTTTTTTCGGTCCAAAAGAGAGCTCTTTTCTCTATAACCGTCCAGAAGGTGCAAACCGAAGGCGGCATGAGCTGAAACAAAAGTGGAAATAGCCAAAGTAGTATTCTTAGTCTCTCCCCTCTTGTTTCCTGAGTTTCATTCTTGGTCTCCCAACTCCTTCCACCACTGTTTTTTCCTGTCAGATGATATGCTGTTCAAGGGCTTCCCTTCCACGCTGCAAATCTTGTCCATTTTCTTTTGTTGTACTAAGACATGGGCACCAATTTCTCCATCTCCACGACAGATATGCAGGAGGTAGGAGACAAAGTGTTTTTTTCCATTGCAACATCTTCATTTCCTTTCTGTTTGTGAAGTAAAAGAGGATGTTGCTTTTTCCACAAGTAGGGAAAGCAAATCAGATTCATACCATGGAATTATTTTCTAGTTTGCTTTGCAAACTTAGTTCAGACATAACCAACATAAGCATTTGGACAGCACAGGAAACAAAGCTTCTGATTGTCTCTGCAGTGCAACAGAAGAGCAATCAGATAAGTCGCAAACACATCTCAGATTTAATGCCATTACAAAGTGGGAAGCCACACCTGAAACCTATTAAATATTTAAGTCTCAGTTTGTTAAAAAAGAGGATTCCTAAGGTGGTTATCTAGAGATTGTTGCCAAGTCTACGAAGCAAGGGAGCTGTATTAAAACCAGCCATGTTTCCTTTACTCAGATAAAAAACAGGCAAGTGAGGAATAATTGTAAGGCAAAGCTTGTTGAGTATGAGAACGTTTGATACTTCTGACAAAACAGGGCACGGTGTAGATTCCTTCAGTGGGTGCAATTGACAAAACACCAATAAAATAGGCAAATCTGTCAGTTTAATCCATAAAATGTGCCACATGAAAAATGCTTTTCAATTGCAATTTAATCTGAAATTTATCTGTGGGGATTGGAGAACCTTTAGCAAATTTGCAGCATTCAATGAGCAGTTTACAAGTGTCCTATCAGGGTAAAACAACTTAATGTGACAGGCATCTGGCGACTTTGGTTATAATGTTCCCTTAAGGAGTTTAGAACTTAGCAATTTCTCACATTTCCATCCACCAGAATCCAAAGACTTATGAAACTTTGGGATAAAGAGATTATACTTTTCACAGATTCATGTTTTCAAAAAAAAATTCATTTTTGTTCAACCTCAGCAAACCTCCTGATATAAATAACCTTCAGACACAGACTGTGTTTACATTTTCAGTTTAAATGTCCTTAGCAATCTGTTCAGGCTTGATAATACTTTATTCATAGTTGCCATTTTGTTTTAACCAAACTTATTTATTTTATTGGTGGTACAGCAATAGTATAATAGCAGTGAGAACTATTATATTATGCTTAAACTATTTCTAATTCAGGCTAGGGTGAGAAATAGCCTTAAGTAGCCAAGAAATACTTCAGAAGATTTTTTTTCCCCTTTAGCAAATGGGAAGATGGGGTTTTAGAATATAGATATATGTCTGAAGTTCCAGGATAGATCTCAACTTGAAGGAGATTTCACCTATTGGTAACTAGGTTTTAGTCCAAAATCTCTGGTATCCAGTCTTAAACTCTCAAAGTTTAAACTTTGAGTTTAAACAAAGCAACATTTCATAGTATTTTTTTAATAGAATCCCCCCCCCCCCCAAAAGAAAAGAAAAACAAAACTGCATTTTTATTGTATCAATTTCCTTAGAATCTTGGCTGAAGAAAAAGTCAAATGTTTCATCATTGCAATAGCTGGACTAATCCTGTCTCAGCTGTAGTCTAATTTTAAAGAAGGTTTAATTCCAGCATTCTCTGTCTACCATAATAAATCCCTGCATTTCACATAAACATATAAACATTTTTGATTTGGAGTGTGTGGTCCTAATGCCACTGCTGCCTTTCATGGTCTGTCTTTGCAAAAGGTCTTAGAAGAAGTGTGGGTTGCATGACTTTGGAAATCAACAATTGCCCTTTACAGTTAGTTGTCAGCTGATGCAAATAGATTTCCAAGTAGGTGGAGAAGAGGGCCTCATCTTTATTCCCCGTACATTCAGTTGGGATGTCTCAAGAAGAGTGTACGTGAGTGTGAACTTGTCCTGTCTGATCTGGAACCATTATAAAACTGAGTTCCAGATGAGGCTGAGAACTGTAATGCCTGCGGTTGGACACAGGAACGTCACCTTTTTAGCTTTCCTAGAAAAAAAGATGAGAGACCCCAGGTGAGAGAGCGTATTATGCCCTCTACCTAGATTCAAACTCTCATGCAATCAAGCAAACACCTGAAGAGGACATACGGCATTCTTACCTCTGTTGAGAATGGATGGATTTTCCAGGCTTCCATTTAGAATAATAGATATTTGTTCTAGATTTGGTCATTTGACTGATAGATTGCTTTTTACACTGAAAAACACAGCCTAAAATACTGTTTTTCTTCATAGGAGAACATAATGGAGGTTATTAGAAACCAAGAATTTCTACTGTTACCAGCAGAGGAACTGCATAAACTTCTTGCCAGTGATGATGTGAATGTTCCTGATGAAGAAACCATTTTCCATGCCCTAATGAAGTGGGTGAAATATGACTTGCAAAGGAGATGTAATGACTTGAGTATGTTGCTTGCCTACATCCGTCTACCACTTCTTCCACCGCAGGTAAATGTTTAATTAGCTCTGATTACGTGTGTGTGTGCGTGGATTTCAAAGTGGATATCTTTCTCAGTGATTAAATATGCATTTTATTAGGTATGTGCAAAATTCAGGAAGAAGAAGTTCTGTAGAACTTAAGGAAAAAAATGTTTTGGAGAACTTCAGAGTGTTTTGGGCCTTTCCTAGCACACAATCCAGCTATTCTGGAGACAGGCCTACAACTTTCTGGAAGTTACATCTCTGAACAAGAAACATTTTGTGGTGCTTTAATACTGTTTTGGGGCTGGACAATACCTAGAACATCATGAACTGGTTTTGATTTGGAGGACTAACAATGAAAAACTTCTGGACCCCCCCCCCCCCCCGCAGAAAGACTGGATTGGCATGATACAGAAGAGGAACAAAATTTTAAATTTTAAATTTTGTCTTTCTATGCACCTTCTTCATAGATTTTTAATTCAAAATATCATTTCAATTACAAGCAATAAGATAAAAAATAGCCTAAAAATAATGCTAAACTTACCAAAGAAATAAATAAGCTCATTGATTACCATAGTAGCATATCATCAATATGCATATAAGGAAACTAAAATAAGCATTCGAAAAGCTCACTCCCAAATTAAAAGGAAAATAATTAAAAATGTAATGTGTTTGTGATTGTCATATTCAGAAAAAAAAATCTTGAAAAAGTCTAGGCTACTTTTCTTTTCTGAACCATTATAGTTCACGGAGCAATCACCCACAAGCACATCAGAGGGAAAAAGACTTGCACATCGTCACTTTCCCTTGGAACCTCCCAGCTTCAGTCCTGGTTGATGGATTCCCTGCATCAAACACTAGGGATCGAAAGCGTAGAAATGTGGGTGGGGAGGCATTTTGCAAAAGAGACATTGATAGAGGTGTATTCACTCAAGTATCTGTGAATCAGAGAATTGAAGCTCACCTATCATTGAATCTGGACTTCATCTTGCTAAGAGTACTCCCCCGGAAAATCACGAGTCTCAGATAACAAATTTAAGCCAGATATATTCCAAAGACTTTAAGTAAGACTAAATTTTGGCTCAGTTCAAAATGTTTGCCATGGAAAAGTCTGTGGTTACTTTGGGAAGGGAGTGGTTTCTCAGGAAGAGTCCAGTTCTCTCTCTATTCATTGGGGAGATAAAGAGCATTCAAGGACACCACAGCCCAAAGCAGATGGTAGGTTCCTCTGTTCCATATCTGTACATTTAACCCAGCTGAGAATTCATTTCATGGGATGATCACAATATACGTTAATCTACCAGGGTGCTTAGTGCTAAAGTTTTGTTTAGTTTTTTAAGAGCTGGCACTTCAATTATTATTGTTAGGACTTTAAGGCAGGGCTTCCTTGTCCCTAAATAATGGGGTTAATCACCCTGAATTTAATCAGGTCTTCCAGGTTGATGAAAACACCAAGAAGTGTGTTTTGGTAAGGAAGTTTCTGTTGTCAACAATCTTGTTTTTAAATTACTAAGAGCTTTCTTTTGTTAGCAACATTAAAGCTTTGGCATTCTTTTACATATCCCTATGCGTTCTGCGCGATTATCTTCATTGCTAGTCTGTGTCCTTTTATATTGCCAATATTATCCTAAAAATCCAGAATAGAAGTTCATTTCAAAAGTTTATTTGGATTAAAATTAAAAGTGGGCTTTGAGCTAATCTGCTCCTTCTCTTTACTTCCTGATTGAAGATCAGCATCTGGTTTGAAGGGCAATATAGATGTTCTTAAATAAGTAAATGTAATAAATGTACTGGAGTCTACTCAAATTCAGATCTAAGATCTCCTCATTCATGTTTTCTATTCATTTCCATTGTTGTGGTTAATGAATACCCCATCAATATTATCATTGTTATTTTGTTGTGTTTATTATATTGTTACTTTATTACTATGCTATTACCATGGACATTTTAATTATTATTTTGCTTTAATGTGGATGCTTTAATTGTTGTTTTTATTACTATAAACATGTAAATGGTTTGTCTGTGAGTGTATGTGTACACATTGGTAAGAATTCACTCACTAAGAATTGTAAAATGGGTGGAGAAAGTTTGCATGGTACTGTCTGTGATCTGATGTAAGAAATGAATATTTGTTGAAAGAAGCAAGAATGAGCTTGTCCCCACTTCGTTATGGAAATGATTGTTGAATAGTTCAAGAGAACTATAAAAGTGAGTTGAATGCAGTAGGAATATGATACTTAATGTCTGGTAGAACAAGGAGAGCTAGGATGAAGAATGAATGCATGCAGAACGAATATGGATAGAATATGACAGTGACTAACCATATTGAATAGGTACGTTGGGTTGGCTTGGTCATATAGATAGAATAAATGAGGACTTCATCGTAGAACAAGTAAGACTGCCGGATCTGTGCTGCAAAAATCCAGTTGAACACTGAAGGGCAGCAAAGCCATACAGAAAACCCTCCTATTTATCAGCACTGCCTTCTGGTGGTTTTCAATATTTCTGTAGGCCAGATTTGGTAGCCTTATAAGAAAAACAACCAAGGATAGCATTTCATTTCCACTTACTTGCTCTGAATTCTATTTCAGCACTGACACTGAGTTCTTTCCCTTCACTTCTGTTCTTACATAAATAAACCATAATTTAGTTCCAGTTTAGCAGGTGCCTGGCTTTTTTTCACCAAAACCAGTAACAAAGGTTTGAAATAATCTTAATTATTGAACAAATCAAGAAACCTCACATTGTTTTGCTGATACGAGCTTTTTAAAGCCTTAATTCCTGCTTTACATAAAACCAGAAAATACAACTCAATTCTATTTCTTTTCCCAGATGGATGAATAGAGAAGTAAGTGAATCTGGTATGTTTGACAGGCAAATACTCATGCACTTAGAACTAAATTAATATTTACATGCCAACTAGCAAACCAACAGCTATGTATTCTTTGATCAGCAAATATCCCTCTTCTGCAAGAGATCAACATTCTTCATACCAGCATGTTCCACTTACAGTTGTGTTGAGTTGGGTTCCTATTCCACCAGGATATCTGTGATTAAGACACCATATTTATCGGTATAACTGTTTGACTATGAATTTTATCAGGCTTGGAATGGAAATAGCTTCTCACCAAAAATCAGGAATCGGGTGACACCTTTTCTGGCTAACAAATTTTATTCAAAGGTATAAGCTTTTGTGAGCTGAAGCTCCCTTCATCAGATGCTGATGACAGGTTATCTCTTTTAATAAGGCTTACAAAAGCTTATGCCTCTGAATAAAATGTGTTAATTGGACAAGGTGCTATCAGACTCCTGATTTTCTGCCACCGCTAGCCATACTGGTTTCACTGTAAGTATGGTGTTGAGTTAGAATGAGAAATTCCATTTCCAATTCCAAGTTACACATTGAGCTCATTTAGTGACCTTGGCCAATATGATTACTTAGTCTATCTCCTAAAATAGAACTTATTTTATAGTTAAGTTAAATCAAGGATTGTATAATATGGTAAGAGATAACAGGGGGGCTGTTACACTAAATAATATTGAACATTTTAAGAGATGGGCTCATTAAATCATAATCTTTCGGGAACTGTTAATGGTGTGAAAATAGTTTCAGCTTAATTTGATTACTTATCACAGATGCTATCTATAAATCGCAACTGTTAACAATTGTTTCGTTTGTAGGGAGAAAAGGAAAGAATAATTTAAATTCTACCTGCTACAAAAGATTGAAAACAAAGAAAGATATGGTAATACACTAATGACATTGAATTCCACTGGCCATATCTATTTAACTTTCCCAACCTTAATGTGGACCTACTGGGGTGGGACATGAACAGCTTTTTTTGCATCACAATTCAGACAGGAGAAAAATTTTCCTAGTCAGACCAACCTCTAAGATGAAAGTAATGTCTTGACCAGTTTTCATCTAGTTCCTTTCAAGCTAATCCAGCAAAAAAGAAATTTATTTTTGTTAACTCTTAGAAAGCTTTGATATAGTCATGCATTTTAAACACAAAGCACTTCCCAAATTCTGGGATTCGTACATGAAGAATTTGGAAATTATTGATTTAAAGAAAGGGTGAAATATACATATTTATTTATTTATAGACATACGGAACAATCTGTTTTTGTCCCTTCCCTCTTTTACATGAGTCCATCTATTCACTACATCCATATATTCAATAAAATACCAAGACATTGTAATTATTACAGGTATATGCATATTCTGCTTCGCCAATGAATACATTTTGTATGTATCTTTCTTTGCCTTTATTCATTTATTTTATTTATTTAAGAAATTTATAAAACTGCCTCTTTCACAACTTGTGACTTTGGGTAGCCTATGTAACTTCACTAATGCAAGCAATTTTGTAGGTGACTTTTCCTAAAACATGCATTAACACAGCTTGAACTGAAAACTATTTAACAAAATCTGAGGAAACAGCAACTTTGGCTGTTTATATAACTATAACTAGGAATAACTATTCCTCCACCTAGTAGTCAGAAAACATGAGTTAAATCAGATTGCTTAGAAATGCTGACTGTAAGACAATCCTATTTATTATATGCCAACCAGATCATATCCATCATTACAAAATGCCATTTTTTGATGTAGACGTTCAAAATGGGTCTCACAATAAAATGAAGCATGAGAAATAAGCATTACAACAGTATAATGTTTGAAAAGTTAAACATAGCAAAGAAATTCCAGAAAATAATACAGTTTGGAGATTAAAAGTATGGGACTATAAAAGGTAGGAGTGTGAATATCAGCCAGGATCCAGTTTAAATGTGTGATTTGGTGAGTTAGTTCAACTGAGACTTGCACACAGCCTTCTGGAGAATTTGACTATTTCCACACATGGTAGATGTGCGTTGGGGTGCTCTCTACAGCTCAGCCCTAATCATTTCATCGCTCGCCCCAGAACAGTTTATGATGAGCAAAGTTGAATTAATTTCTCTCTTTTCTGATGAGTCCTGCTATGTGGCTTTGGAGTGGCTCTTCTTGATATATTTTGTTTACAAGC